GCGATCCTTCCGCCTCAGCCTTCCCAGTAGCTGGAACTACAGGCATGCGCTACCATGCCCAGCTAATTTTTTGAATTATTGTAGAGATGAGGTCTCGCCAAGTTGCCCAGGCGGGTTTCGAACCTGCAGGCTTAGGCAATCCACTCACCTCAGCCTCCCAAAGGCGCAGGATTACAGGCTGAGCCACTGAGCCCAACTATGAGCCCTGAGAATTTTAAAACAAGCTTTTCCTCACACCATGCTGTAAGTGTTTAATCTTGTTTTGTAAACTGTTTTCATTCTGTTGCTTGTTTCCTGAGTGCCTTCTGCTCCTGCATGAGGTGCCAAGTTAGGATAGTACTATAATCTGACCTGGGTGGGATTACCTGGAATTTAGAGCCCTCCTAACCTCAGGGGGCTTGAGTACTTAGAGTCCTTGTCTTACGGTTTGTTTTTGTTCTTGAGATAGTGCATCATTTTTGGCTTTCTTTCCCAACATTCTGTCTTCCATCTGCAGTGCCACAGAATGGTTTCAATCACTTAGTCTTCGATGCCCACGGCAAAGAGCTCAGGGACTCTTCTGCGGTTGGTAGCATTTAGAAGAAAGCCCAGAAGTTGCACAGATAGGTGCACATTTTACTTTTTCTGCAAGGTTTGGTCTGAAGTAACATCTGTGTCTTAGCAGCCATGCAAATGACAACATGATTGCATTTGCTGTCGAGCCGCAAGAACTTAGAAGATACTTTCTGTACCTGTTTGTAATCGGGGAGTCCAGTTCATGATGGCCCCAAAGCCTGTGGCTATAAAGACTAGGGGGAGACTAGCAAAAATGTGAATTTCTTATTCTACATCCAAGTGTTTGTTATGGAGAGTGGCCCGAGGCATGAAATGAGAGTGGTAAAGACTGCACTTACTAGTGGAGCAAAGTCTGGGGTGAAAGGGTACATTGGTAGATAGGAAGTACTGTTTTATTTTATTTTATTTTTTAAAGAATGTCCTAGAGCGCTTCTGGGGAGAAGTTGGCAGACCTTTCACTGAGTACCTTTGAATAAATTTTACTGACTCCCACAAGCCAACACCCACACAGCCTTCCCCTATCTGTTGTTACCTATACAGCAGTTTAAAGGATTCTCATGTAATTGGGCCCTGTCCTAAAAATCACTGTTGCAGTGGGCCTCCTTGTGGGTGACTTGTTCTTTCTACAGTCAGTCATTAACACATGTGTCACCAGGTGCCCCCCTCTGGTTTCAGAGCCTAGACTATGTCATAAGAGACCCACCTGTTAATCACTTTCTTTTTCCTTGTTTCAGATTATAGCTTTTGCCCTGGAAGGAAAAAGATCCAAAGTCACTCGGCGGCCAAAGGCCAGTGACTACCAGCGTTTGGACCAGAAGGTAAGGAAGGAGAAGCCAGGTCCGCGGGACAGATAGACAGCCTCAGGTGGACCAAGGAATGACCAAGCAGTGGCCACTTCAGGGGGTGCTGTTGCCTTTGCTCCCGCCCTTTTGAGACCGCACGCTCACCTCCATATGTATGCAGCTTCAGGGTTAGAGTTAGAAGAGACCTCAGGTACCTGGCAATTGCCTCCCTTGAAGATGAGAAACAGGCCCATTCAGAAACACTGATTTTTTTTTTTTTACCCTAAGCTTCCACTACACATTGATGGCAAGCAGTCAGGCCTCCACAGCAACTCCCTAGACTCCCATTCCTGAGCTTTTTGCGCTCCACCAGTGCTTTACAAACTTTAATACGCATTTGAATCACCTTGGAAATCTGGATAAAAAGCAGTGTCTGATTTACTAGGTATGGGGTGGAGCCTATGTTGCTACCTTTTGAGGAAGTTCCCAGGTGAAGCCAAATGCTGCTAGAACCACATTTTGGGTGGTAGAGCGCTAGATTACACTTCCTGGACAAAACCAGCCCATGCTAGGTGTGGAGATTCAAGCCTGGTGATCCCAGCACTTTGGGAAGCGGAGGCGAGAGGACTGAGTAATGCGGCGAGACCTGTCTCTGCAGTAAATAAAAAAATTAGCCAGGCATGGTGGCACGTACCTGTGTGTGGTTCTAGCTACTTGGAAGGCTGAGGCGGAACTATCACCTAAGCCCAGCAGGCCAAGGCTGAGGTGACCGTGAACGTGCCACTGCTCTCCAGCCTGGCCGACAGAATGAGAATCCAACTCAAAAAAAACAAAACAAAGCCAGCCCAGAAGCCCATAGGCCTTCAACTCCCACATCAACCCTGTGTAAGCATTGTGGGCTCCTGTGTGCAGCCCCCCGTCCTGCTGAGAGACAGGCCTTCCTTCGACCAGACAGCCGTAGAGCTCGGCACGGGTCTCTCTCACAGTCACCTGTCTAAGCAGGATGACTGATTCCCACTGCATTGCTCCCAGCACGCAGCCTTGCCTCCCTCCTCTGTACAGCAACAGAAAGAACACTGACCAAGTACTGCTGGTGGCCTAACTATGCGTGTTTCCATACTTCCTGTGGGGTACACAATTCACGTGTGTCTCTCACACCAGCTATAGAACAAGCCTGGGCTGAGAATACCTTTCCGAACCAGTCTAATAGGTCAGTTTCACAGTTTAGCCCTGGCCTGCCACCTTCCTAGATAATTGACTCTAAGGATTTCCCCCTCTTCATTTTTATTTTTAACACACATGTAAATAATTCAAAACAATACCAAACAGTAGAAGCAGAAGCCAGGATTCCCATGTCTCTCCATCAAGAGCATAGTTTCCTAGTGCGTTTTATTTTGAACTTGCTATAGTAATCATTTTGAATGCATTTATTTTAATAAATCTCTGTTTCTATGTTAAGGGGATCAGTTTGTCTTAATTCTCAATTGTTTTTCCCTGAACTGCAGCTCCTAAAATATCTTTTTTTTCCCCAAAGTCCTAACAGGATGGTATGTTCCTCTGGAAAATGAAGATGTTGCTGTTGGATTGTGCTGCTCTCCTTTCAGCTTTGATTTTTGTCCTTGAGAACCTTGTCCTCCCTGCTGATTTTGTTCCAAATCAAGAAAACTGAAGAGAAAAGCACTGTGACCTAGGAGACACCCTCCTCTAGGGTTGGGTGGCAAGTCTGGCCTGGCAGAGGCGGGGGATGGCTTTGGGGTTTGCACCTGCACTTTGGCGACATTGTTCTGCGTTCCCTTGATTTTTCCAGAGCATCCATCCTTTCCTTCCTGAGCGAATGGAGGAGTGCATGGAAACATGGCAGTGACCAAAGGGAGACCCAAGCCCTGGGCAGACTGGGCTGCAGACCGTGCTCCCAAGGGACCAGGCTCTGTATAAAGTTAGCTCCTGACTGTGGCCCCCTGACTGCAGCATTGCCCCCTCCGCTGTTAGTCTTTGCAGACCTCAGAGAAAACTACAGGTAGAATTTTGGGAAAAGACATAGAGCATGGCGAAATGCTGATGGTCAAGGGGCTACCTCGAACCCATAATTTTCTTCGCAGGCTTCAGCAGCAAACCAAAATGGCAGGTTGAAGGAGGCTTTAATGCCTGCAGGTCTAGCCTGCCGGGCATAAGTTCTTCATGACTTTCTGGTCTTTTATATGACTATTTTATATGACTCGAGGCACCTCCATGTGGTTGTGCTGAGAATAAAACCAAATGCTGGAAGTCAGTTTATTGTTCCCTCACAGATTTTTTGCAAATATGATTTGAAAAAATGCGATCTTTCCTACAGTCCTACTCAGGAGGAACCTTTGAAATAGGGCGAGTTCATGCTTCGTGTAAGAAGACAGGTAGGGTGGTCTGGCTTTGCTCAGGAGTTTTTTCAAAGGGCTTCTATGAAATGGTTATCCCATCAATTCCATTTGGCCTTTGTTGAGTCAGGTGGACAAAATGGACACACGTTTAGAAACTAACTACACTGACCATTTTACTTCAGTGTATTTAATGGTCTTTATCTGATAGAAGAGGCCAGATGTGACTGGCAAATATTCTCCTTCCATGGAATGTCAAGTTATTCAAATTTTTAAAATTCAGTGTGTACCCTGGGAAAGTGAGGGTAGCATATTGAATCACACTGTTGTCGGAAGGCTTGTTTAAAATCTGTTCGAGTCGCACTAGGTTCTCTGTAATCTGCAATAGCCTGAAGAGTGCTGTTTCTGAGCTGATCTCAGAAAAATGGAAAGGATGTGGGTGGTGAGGGGAAATGACAGGTTCTGTGCTGTAGAGGCAGGAAGTCTCTGTCCCCTCGTCTTCCACCCCGCTGGAAGCAGCCCACAGCTCGGAGTTGAAAGGTGCCTCCTTGGCAGGCAGCCTACTGCATGGAGACGAGGCATGACCACCTCCTCTTAAAGCCCTCTGCTCCGAGCTGAGGAGTCTTCCAGGGCTCTTCTGGCATCCCTAAGACCACGGTTACTCGGTCCCCCATCTCCCTCCTCGCCCCCTTCCCTGGCGCTTTCCATTTGGGCCTGTCTGTCCTGGCCCCTCTCCTCCCACCTTCATGCACACCCAGAGTTCCCTGCTCCCATCTGTCCTGTTGGCTGCTCGCGGCTCAGCTTCTCCAGGAAGTGTTGCTGACCTTGTGGTTTCTGCGTGACTTGTGCAAACTCACTTGGTTCCCTGACTTTCTGCTGTGCTTTTCCAAAGCTTACCGGTCATCGGATCACCAAACCCAACGGCGTGTTCTCGAAGCTCAGTCTTGTCTGTGATAGAGTCAAACTGTCAACACTCCACACAGAAATCCCCCTTCTTGGTGCCTCTAACACTGTCCTTGCCTTATCCTTTGCTGGTGGGTCCGACACCCCCAAAGCCAGGCTCTGCTGTTCCTTTACCTCCTCAGAAAGGCATCCTGTCTTTGTCCTGTGGGTGACTGACACCCAAGACTTGACCTGGGCATGGTTCCCGGAGAACCCAATTCTGCCGTGTGCTACTAGTTCATTGGCTGTCCTGTCGTCATTGGATGGCATTTCTCTCCTCTTCCCAGCCTCCTGCTGCTCACAACTGCCTGATGTCTTCAGTTGCCTGAAATTCACCTGCAGACTTGCCATTTTTCTTCCTCGTCACAAAAGTTCTCTCCGTTTTTCTGAAAAAGAGATCTCCAGTTACAATCTTCCCATTTTCCTTGCTTCCCGTGTCAACCAGCCCCACACATTCTGCTTCTCTCCTGGCTTTTTTTTTCCTTTCTCTTTTTCCCTCTTTCCCCAGATCCAGCACAATTGGGTCGCCTGTCCATCTTCCCGGAAAGACGATCAGTCGCGGAAAGACGGGTCTTTCCAAAATACTTGCCCTGGTCTGCAGCTTTGGCCCTGCGGCTCAAGGCTTGAAGAAGGTTTTCAGGATTCGAGCCGCTTGACAGCCTCCTGCCTGTCTTTGTCTGCACCCCACCCCGGCCGAGACCCCTCTCGCCACGTGCCCACCTGTTCCTCTGTGCCTTCCGGCTGTGCCCTCCCCTTCCCAGCTTCTCCTGGTTGTTCCCTGTCATGTTATTTTCCCTTCTCTCCTGTCCCCAGCCTTCCCCCATCTACCTGTTTGCTCAGGGTCTGGCTAAGTTTGCCCCGTCCCTGCCCAACTGCCCACTTCCGGCAATTGGCTCCTTCCCTACAACTCTGCCAGCTCTTCATAGCGTCACTCGCTGGTTTTGGAACTTGACCAACACAGGGAAGTGAGGATCTGTGTCAGTCGGGGTCCTCCTGAGAAACCAAAGTCCTTAAGGGACAGACCGGGCACTGTCTTCCTATCCACCCGGCATAGTGACATTCCGTAGGACTTCCAGAGTTTGGTGCCTTCCAGCTGGGGAGATGCTTTCTTTGGTGTGACAGAGTCCCTTGGATGAGGAGTCCCCAGCTGTTTGTGGCCGCTGCTTGCTGTGACTTCATGCACATGGGTTTTGCTCTTAAAGAGATAAGAGACCGGAAAGGTTGGTTTCGGGAGGCAAGAGGGCTGGCAGCCAGCGGACGCATCTGTGTTGTCAGGGCGTCTGGAGTTCAGCTTGTGAGCACCTGGGACGTTTGGCTTCTTGTGCTGAACGAGTGCGATAGTTTAAGTTTCCTGGGAGAAATGGCCCTGAAGGCCGAGCGCAGCCAGTGGAAAACTTCCCTCCGGACGGCTCTCTGTGGATGAACCTTGGAGGCACGTTTTCCTAAATGGCGTGAGGGTGTGCTGGCGCGGGCATCAGCAAGCTGTGAGGGCTCTGGGGTGTTGGGGCCTGTAGGAAGCATTGGAGGCTAGGGACCCAGCTTTTGGCTGAGGGGTGATTTCTCTGAGGCGGAGTCTGCAGCAGTCAGGGATGAAAACAGAGGGACTAGTTTTCCTGCTAGGTATAGAGTAGAATGACCCAAGAGCCCTGGGGAGTCTGAGGCCAGTGTATATAGGAAGCCCATGACAACTTGGAAAGACCTGGCAGCTAGCTGGGCAGACGCTGACGGCTCTCCTAGGAGGGCTTGACATGACTCATTGGCTGATAGGACTTGAACCTCTGGAATTCCCCTGCCGCCAATGCGGGTCTTAGTGATCCTGGCCTGCACGGGTAACCTGACACCCGACACTGCAGGTGTGCTGGGCGCTGAGTGCAGGTCTGGTCCACTGGAGCCCAGGGAGGCTGGCGATGACCCAGGCCCTGTGCTTCTTTCTGCAGGCCATTTCCTGCAACCCTTGTCAGGGAGGTTGGGTCTGGCATGCCTTGGTCGGGTAAGAGTCCTGGGGAGAGGTCCTCTGGTCTGATTCAACAACATCCAGAGCCAAGAGTGACTCTCAGCCAAGCTAGTGCAACATAAGATGTGAATTTCCCAGATCCCCCATTTAGAACCTCCTCTGTGAAGGGCTCAAGCCTGCAGTGTATAGCGTTTCAAACTGCCAATAGCCAGGCCCCTCACATCCTGATAACTATTCCTTTGGCACATAAGATACCATGTTCAGTAAGTTATTGATTGTTGAAAGGGTCTCTCTTCTTTTTTTGCCCAGTTAGTAGATGGCCACTGTTTCCCAATGTTCTATATTTTCAGCTTTTTGTACCTTCACTGTAATGACTGAAGATTATTTTTTTACAGCGTCTTGTGGTTTAATGACAAGTCTTTTTCAGTATGTGATGTTTCCCTGAGCTTCTGTAACTGCCATCATGATGGAGTTTTGTCATTGAAGATAAAGCAAAATAAATTTCGAATGTCAAAGCAATGGAATGATTAACTTTATTAATACAACATCAACGCAAACCACAAAGAGACATTAGTATGTGAGTCTGAAAGAAGCGAAAGGTCATTCTTCCTAACGGGAGCCTTCCCTACCTTCCCACGTTAACCCTCACATGTGGACTGCTAAACTGCACCCGTGGTGTCTGGGCTCTGTACACGCCCTGTGGTTTCCCCATTCTGATCCTGGCCAGATCCCCACCCGACAACCCCTCCTCCTGGACCAGCAGCCCGAGATGAAATTAGGAGGTAGTTGGGCCGTTGGGCTCACTGTCTCACCTCCCACTGCTGTCTTCTGCTATGCCCTTGCGTGGAATGCCCCTTCCACCTGCATCAACCCGGCGAAGTCCTCTTGCCAGTCTGTCCCGACTCCTAGTGTTTTCAAGGATAAGGCTTGAGGCTCAGGTTCTGAGCTCCCTGAGGGGGTTTTGTTGCTGGCATGTTGAGAACCAGATGGCACCCTGGTTGTGAGGAAGATGGACCCAGGGCTTCTACAGCAAAGGATATGATCTTCGGCCGTGCACCTTACTAAAGGGTGCTGTTACTGACCCTGTCCTCTTCAGAGCAACCAGACCCAGCACAGAGATAATTGGAGCCTTCTGGGTCTGTGAACTACAACCAAGACCACGCCTGGGTTTAAGCTAGATCCCTTTCACTTGAACACGCAGAGCTCTGCAGCCCAGCACTGAGTGAGCGAGCGCAGACGCCTCAGGACGGAGCTGGACACAGCGGCTGGGGTGACCACCCTGTAGGGGTTCTATCCTCCCAATTGGGGGCACTTTCCTTTTGTTGAGGGTTTGGAGGCTTGGGAGTAGGATGCCAGGCAGTGCTCATTGGAGACATCAAGCTGTCCGAATCACACCTGCTTGGCAGGGACAGCACCTGCCAGGCTTCAAGGGCTCCCATTCCAGAACTGGGATTTAACTAGGCCTATGGTCAGAAATGACAGCCCGATCAGAGTGCTTCACGTCGCCAGGACCGATGCCCACAGACATGATGGGAAGGCCAGGGAGCAGCCCCGGCCTTGGCTGAGGCCCAACTCATCCTGCCCCTGCTAATTCCTCTTCTTCTGTGCTCGGACCCTGGAGCCAAGATCTCGAAGGTCCGAGTACACATTGCGCTTCAGGATG